GCACTAAATACATTATGTAAGGACAGAGAGCCGAGGAAAAGTTGAATAGCAATTTGAAATTGCGCGTTGAAATTAGAGAAAATTGTTGTTTTTTTAATTCTTTGGCCGCGGCTTTGTATCACGGTAATATAGTACAACTGTACTTACAAGTATTACAAGCCTCTACACCAGTGATTCCCAACGTGAGGCAACGCGCCACCGGGGAGAAATTTGATAATTCAGGAGGACAATTTGAAAGTTTTGGTTATTTGAATGTAATGTAGTATAGTATTGTTTCAAACATTTAAAAACACTGACTAGTTAAAAAATGACTTTGAAGAAACTGAAACCAAATTCCCAATTTGTAATCATATGTAATAATATGTAATCATAATAAATTAACAAAAATTTGCTATGAAATTTTTAGAAACCTCAAAGTGAAGCAAAGGACCAAAAAGGTTGGAAATCACTGCTCTACTCATTAGGAGCAATTACAGCTTACAAATACAGATGAACTGAAAAGCAAAACATGACACATTTTTCTACCAAACTTTATCACTCGAATTATGTATTGATAGTTTATGAAGCTGAACCAAGGAAGGCTTTAATTCTCAGATTAATAAACACCTCCGAAAATTTGCAAAAATTATATACTAACTCGAGAGTCAATTCAGTTAATAATATCTCCAAGTCTGGTTAGATATCATTGACCAAAAATGAGTAGAAATTATTAGTAAAACATAAATTTTTTGTAGAAAGAATTTGACCAAATAAATGCAGGAACAGTTTATATTAAGAAACAAGACAGAAACTTCTATTCAATTGCAAGAAGAACTTGTCATCAAATACTAACAAGAGCTCAACAGAAAAATCACCCAATACTGAATGAAGAATACAGAATTAAATACAGAATTTCATTGAAAACATGTCTGTATTTCTTATTATGGAGAATGTAAAACGAACAGAATCTGTCTCAAATGTGGAAGCACCTATGCGAAATAACGTATATTTTGAGCAGCTTTTCAAATATGTAGTAAAAATAATACTTTTACTTTTAAACTTGTAAACAAGTTATTACTCTCCATTCAATGCTGAAAAACATAAGTCATGTTAGGTAAAATCTAAATTTTAAAGAAAGACTTGCTCAGTTATATGCAGGGCAGTTATATTAAGAAACAAGACAGAAACTTCTATTTATTTTATTATATATATAGTTATTAATCTCCATAATCTAAAATATAAGTTATGATAGACTGATAGAATATGTCGAACTTATAGCAAGAGATCCTGAAATTGTTTTATAATTTGCAATCGGTAGTGTAAGTATCTATAAAGTGCGATTTGAATGATTTTCCCTAATGATAAGAAAAAATCAGCAGAACAATAAAATTTAATGCACCAATGCAATAAAAATCACTTGAGGAACGAGAAGTTGAGATTTGTCTTCTTTTCTATTTTTATTTTATTGTTAGAGAACTAATTACTCATTGAGATATCAAACCCCTTTCTGAAGTTTTTCAGAAATCTTGAAAATTCATGTAAAAAGTGAAATATTGTTGATATAAAGTATCTACTTAAGGCAGTTATGATAAAGAACTTTGAAAAGCAAATAGGGAACACTTGCAATGAAAGCCAGTGAGTAGTTTGATACAATGACACATGTATTTACTTCTTGAGCGCATGGAGAATAAATTTTGTACATGGGCTCCCCTATTACCGGATGATAAGTTGGCCGCCAAACTCGTCCTGGTCTTCAAGAACGCTTCTGAACATTCATAACCACTCATTACAAACAATAGACTCACTCAGCGGATTGCGAACTATCAACAGAAGTATGTACATATTGTAGCATCCATATTCGAGCAATGATCATTGTAAACATCGTATGGTAAATATCGTTATGTGAACAAAAATCATAAGACATCTGCACAACCCATCATCACTTTGCCAAATGATTGCTCTGGTTCCTATATTAATTATAGTTTTATTTTTTGATTCAAGTTAATGTTCATACTATTCACTCAAATTACAAAGTTATCGATCCGCAGAGATTTGGACTGTGATTACGGTTACAAATTATTTTCTTATATTACTGTCCATAATTTATATTTATTTCAAGCTCAAAAGTCAATAAGTCGGAATTGAAGCTCTTATAGAAATTTTAATATTTATAATACTCTATAATATCTTAACTTGCTTCGTATTATCTCAATTCAATAATTTAAAAAAAAATTCGAGAGTGGCAAAATAAAAACGTTTCTTATACTTGCTAAGAATAAGGCATGCCATGAGAAGACCTTTGGCTTTAAATCTATTATAATCCATTGCAATCATATTACACATCAAAAGTTTGCAGGTTGTGCAGTGTTCAGGCGAAAATAATTATTATCGCAACTGGTATGAAATGAGGATGTAAAATCTGATAACAGATTCAAACAAAACGCAAAATATGTGAGCGAGTATGTGGTCACATGAAGCATAAAAGCATTGTCCTTGAAAACCCAAAAATTAAATGTACTATAGATTAAAATCATATGATATAGTTGTTTTCGAAAACAAATCTTTAAGCAACAAAATAAATATCTTCAGCCTCAATTTGACCATCATATAGGCGTAGGCCTATAGACTCAATTGACCTATACCAGCGTGTATGTGTTATGTGAAAATACAGAGCCAAAAGTAAAATTGTTGTTTGTTATATTTTAAATTTAATTTTTCTAACTTCCCGCAGGGTAAGTTATAGTAATCGCATAAAAACC